CGGACAGCCCCCCGCCTCTGCCATCCCTCCCTCCGCCCTCCCCGGGGTTCAAAGTGCAGCCGGACACCCCGCTGCCCGGGGAAGGGCAGAGATTTGAGTTGGGCCTCGTGTTCCCCCTTCCCAACCACCCTCTTTCCCCACGGCACAGTCTGCTTCCCGGCAAACACCGGGAACAGATGCGTCAGCGAGGGGCTTCAGCTCGAGCGTCACCAACAAGAACATGTCCAGGGATTAGCACGGCAGGGCCAGAGGGACGCGCTGGGAAACGTGCCAGTTCTGCTCCCCTCGGGTATTTGTAGGATTTGTTGCATTAACAGCATATACATTTAAACTGCACTTTACAAAAGCACTCGGAATGCTGAAGAATCATAAAAACGTCTCATTAACGAAAGGCAAGCAGCGAAAGAGAACAACAACCAAAAGTCTGACCTCAGCAGAACTGCAGCCAGGCAAAATGCCACCAAAGGAGAAGCAATAATAGGGATTTCAGAACCAGAGGCAGCGCTGCGGGACAAGCGTTTCAGGCCATTTTTGAGGACACAGAGATGAAATGAGATGATTTCCAGGGGAGGCAAGTTTCCAACGTCTGAAGTTCACCCGCCACAGATCAAACCCTGGTTGGCCTAATAACAACATGCTGAAAATCAGGTGACTCCAGCTCCTAATTCTGCTCCCTGCTCACGAAGAAATTGGACTTGGGAGGAAAATTAAAGGAAAAAAAAAAAACAGAATATTATGTTCCCAGCAGAAAGCCTGCTCCACACAGTGGGTTTGGATATGGAGTATGTGTGTATTCCACACACAGTACTGCAGGGACAAGGCAAGACTCAAGGGGAGCTGTGCCTTGCTGAGCTAACCAGCTCTTGCTGGCTCAGAGAAACAGCAGAACAACAGAAAGAGAGGTCAGAGCAGAGAGCTACTAAAAAGCAACAATATTTACTCTTCAAAAAAAACCCCTCAGAGACAGTGTCTGGGGAAGTGGCCTCGCTGCAGAGGCACAGAGCTCACAGGAGAGCACACACACACAAATTCAAGGCTAAAAATGCACTGCAAGAACTCAATATCCCCCCCCCAAAAAAAAAAAGCAGCAGCAACTTCGGTTAGGGTCAGATCAAGATTGAAAAGTTATTTTTCTACAACTTTTTTTGCCCCAAAAGCTCATTCTCTGTCATTTCCCAGGCTCTGTGCTCTTTTGCTGAGCCTCCTTTACAGCCCCTGCAGTGTTCACAGGCAGAATGAGCAGGGCCATTCCCCGGTAGGTAGTTTCATGTTGTTGCTGAACTAGACGCCGTTTCAGCGTGCGAGACCTCGATGGCGCGTTCCTGCGCAATGATTTGCTCAGGGATGTCATTGATCCACCTGGCAACTGCAGGAGCAGCCAGTGATTTACCGGTCAGGAGGGTACAAAATGGGCACATGCAGGAGGCAAGGACCAGTCCTCTTTGGGAAACTCCACTGGGAACACTCCATGTGTTCCAGAAATGGGACTGGAAAGAGCGGAATGATCTTTTAAGACACCACAGAATCACAGAATCACAGGATGTCGGGGATTGGAAGGGACCTCAAAAGATCATCCAGTCCAATCCCCCTGCCAGAGCAGGAACACCTAAACAAAATTACACATGAAGGCATCCAGGCGGGTCTTGAATGTCTCCAGAGAAGGAGACTCTCCACAGCCTCAAGCCCGGATCCCACAGACACAGAGGAACTAGATTTAGAGAACCCACGCAGCAGCAGAGCTTAATCTTCCATTTATTGTGCAACAAGCATAAATAACCTTCTCCCCAAGTTCCTCTCAACACAATAACAGACGTGAAATCGAGTGATGTTTTCATAAACACGACCGTTGTTGTTCAAACATCGACGTCTGCTCTCCTCCCCAACCAAAGGATATTACTTCATTGCTAACCAGAAAAAAAAGGAGTAGGTCAAACAGAACTAAACTCTTTAAGCAGGGGCTGCTGCTCAGCCCTGTTTCATTTGCAGTATTATCCTGAACCAACACACTCTGAGTCAGCCTTGGACCCTGCGGCAGCAGCCACTGCACAGTCAAGAAACAAATCTAAGCGGGTTTTGGGTTCACTGTCCTTGTGTACAACTGGTTAGATACGTAATGGTGCATTATACTAAGAAGCAAGCAGCTCCTGATGCTCACCTTACCAGTCAGCACCTCCCTGGGAGGCTTTTAAGCTGTCATTTCATAGCAAGATACATCTGTGGCTGCAGAGGAAGATCATCTTAAGATCACCACTGGTCTCCCTAAGAAAAGAAAGATCACACGTCCCTTTGTCAGCTCAGCTTTCATCATTACAATCCGTGATGCTCCCGTGTAAAGAGCAGCTAGACAGTGCTTCTTCCCACACACCCCCTTCTGAAGGGGAATTTGCTCCACTCAACACACAACTTCAAAATCAATTTGGAATTCCCAAACGTGAGCAAAACCAGCCACATACCTCAGGACACCTGCAAGGTCCGCACGCCCTCACCGAGAAAAGAATAACGAAGCGAGGGCATTTCCTCTAGCAGGGAGAGAAAAGCAGTGTGTACTAACACTTGCTAGAGATAAACTCAAGCTCTTAAGAACAGGCCTGCAGCTTTGTTCCCTACAGCGCTACGGGATTCCAGGCACACAGAACAGATTCACAGGTGCCTTCAGAAAGTGCCATTTATCTATCGCACAGTCGTGTCCTAGATGGGGACTCTTCACTCAGACCGGCTTCTCCAGGCCAGCAACAGGAATATTGCTGCCCAGAGGTCTTCATACTCAAGGTTTGCCAAAAAGCACATCTTCATTTTGGTTTCCACCCGGTGTTTATCCACCAGTCTGTCCGTGAGCAAAGCGGCCGCAGACTGGCAGAGAAGCCAGGCGATCATCTGGTCGGGTTTCAGGGTCTTGGATGCGAGAACGTTTTCACCCCAGAGGCTTAGGTGAAGCACGTTAGCAGCGACTCTAGCAGACAATCTCTGCAAAAGGAAGGAGAGGGAAGATGAGCTGATCCTGCTGCAATCCTGTCACATCTCTAACACGTAGCATCGACGCTACCAAAGTCCCCCAGGCCTCCTCTAAGGCACCGCAAAGTGCCTGGGAATTAAAAAGCTCTTTGTGTCTGTTTATTATCAAGCAACTGCAGGTGACTCCCAATTCAAAGGCTTGACACAAAGATCTGCTGAAATCCCTGGAATTATTCACTGCTGCCCGTGAGAGCCCACACTGTACTTCAGCAAAGACCTTTTGTTTGCCTTTGATCGGTATCTAGACCGCAATAATATCAGGATCACAGACCTGAGCCCTCCAGAGCAAAATGATCTACAAACCATACACCCAAAGTATGGCAGACGACTTCTGCGAGACAACAGGTTCTTACCTTGTTGGGATCCCTCTGAAGCAGCAGCTTTATCACTTGTTTCACCTCCAGGGGCACGTGATGGGGCAGGTTTGGCAGCTGGTCTTCACGGTAACTTCTGCTCTCCAGAGTCGAGTCCCCGTGGCCGTAAAAAGGATTGGCCAGGCCAAGGATTTCATAGGCGATGGCTCCAACAGCCCACGCGTCGGCTTTACTGTAGTTGATCACCGTGCCCGGACCAGGCGACGCTGTGATCACCTGTCACAGAGACAAAGATGTTCAGAGAACCAGCTCTAGTGTGGGCTCTGTGCTGAAACTCATTTTCAAGGGTCAAGTCAGTATTTCTGCTGTAATAAACAGAGAGACTGAAACCAAAGTGAAGTTTCTTCTAAATTTCTGGCATAAATATTCCTTGTTGGCCAGCTCTAAGCCTTTGCTCACCACGACACTGGGAGGAGACAGACAGGAGATGTGCGGATGACTGACCAGCACTGCACCAGCACTTAAGGCAGAGGGGTCGAGGGGACAGTTAAGGGTGTCTTTGCTTTTATTACGGTTATCATCAGAGAAATAAAAAGGAACTGTAAATAATTTCACAACCACCTTGAACTTCATCCAAATACGACTGTCGCAACACAAGGACTGCTGCAGAGATTTCTACATCAAAAGGGACCTGAGAAAAGACTGAAGAGCTTATTTTTTGTGGGAAAGGTCAATTCTGCCTCCTAACACCCACTGAGGACATTTCACCTTTTAGCACTCAAGGTGTCTGTTCAACAACTGCTCAGCACAGGTCCAAAGAGGAGGGACCTAACTTTTTTTAATTACTGCAGAGCTGTTGAGCAAGTATAGCTCAAGTTAGGACAGGGACCTCCTACACCGCTTTACGGGACAGGGCTCTCCGTGACAGAGCACAGGGTAAGATTCGTTAGGCAGTAACCAGCTGCAGGTACCGTCTCTTGCATCACCAAGTTAGGTCAATAAACAGGAATGGGTAGAAAAGGATCAATCTGATGGCAGAAGCTTTCAGCAGGTGTAACTGCGAGCACACACCAGCAGAGACCACATAAGCAAGTGTTGGTGTGTGCATGTAAGGGAAGGCTCGGGGACAAATCCCAGCTGCAAAGCGATGTGCACACAAGCCCTCTGCTGCTTCTAGGCCTAACCCCACCCTTTCTCAAGTTCCTACCACAGCCTGCACCACAGTTTCACACCATAAAACTTTTTAATCCCAACAGCAGGATGAGCAACCAGCAACACAAGCCATTACTCCAGGGGCATTTACCTCAGGTGCCATCAGACAGCCGTTGCCACCTCGATCCACGTAAGAGCTGGTGAAGGGCAGTCTCAAGCCAAGGTTTTCATCTGCCAAACAGCAACCGAAGTCCGTGATCACCAGCCAGGGGCAGCCAGCTGTGAACGACACGGGGCTAGCAGAGTTAGTGTTCTGTTCAGGACGACACCACGTCCCACGGACACCAGAGAGAGTCTTCAGGACCACCCTCAAACCCACCCCAGGAATCAGCACCACCACACGCTCTTTTCCTCCTTCTCCTCTGTATTATTAAGTGAAATATCAGTTTCATTAAAGCAAAACTCGTTATTCCATTTCCTCTTTACAGCATACTACTGTTCCTCGTGGACAAGTCTCATAAGAATATCATGGATACTAAAAAATTGAAGATGTATAAGGTTAGAGTCTCATCCATGATGGAGGGATCTATTCACTTTTTTCCCCTTCAATTTCACCCATAGCAAAAGCTATCGTGACATAGAGATATATACTCAGCTATAGCAAAAGGCTGGAGAAACTTTACATTAGTTAATAGTTCTTGTTCTGATGACAAATCAAACACTGCAAAGTAGAATCACTACTTCTCCAGCTCCAATATGGAAAAATCCATCCTTTAGATAATTCCCAAATACATTCAGCATAGCTCCAGAGCAGCTTTTCCTTCAGGAAAAGAAGGATGGCATGAGTATCACCAAAAACCTTCCATGGCTGCTGTACCAAGACCTTAAATTACACAGATCTGACTGCTTGCTATTGTTTCCTGCCCATTCAAATCTCAATCACGCTGAAAAAAAGAGCTCAGGTAATTAAAATCTCAGTTAGAGTGGGTGGCAGGAGACCAAGACAATGAAAACGCTGCTTGTGGCTTCACCACTGTGGGTTCCCTCACCATCCAACCAATGTTTCATCATCCCAGGGTGCAGCATTATTAACCAGGTGGGATTTTAAAAACCACCCTGTGCTATTTGGCTACTGAGAGATGATGGAGCCAAGAGCCCTGAAGCAAAGGCACCTCCAGCATCACTGATGTGGTGTTACTACATGGCCACCTGCTCCAGCCAAGGTTCTCCGTGCTTGTGCAAAGCATCACCTTAGCGATACGCTGCAGCTCTCCACCCCACGACAGCACAACGCTCCTTTCAGGTCCATTTTAAAGATCCAAAACCCAAGGAACAAACAAAATAAATGACTTCCCCAATACTGCAGTGACAGCAGGTGGTAAGCTAAAAACTAAACCTGAGATTTTTCAAAGGGTTTGATGCTCATTTTTCCCCCCAAACACACACCTGGGTAAAACTTCCCTGAATACCTA